CCCCACAAAACCCGAACCCTAGCCTCTCGCACATGAAGCGTCACGCTTACCACTACACCAAGCCGCCGTTGGGGAGTGACCTGCTTCCATGAAATTTGAGTTTTCTCATGTAATGTCACCTAAAACCACCCTCATAACTCCGTTCAGAGAACCGCTTGGCAGATTTGGAGAGCGGATTTGAATTTAGCGCCCAAAAACACGTCCAGCAGTATAGGTCTTATTTCAAATGGCCACTTTGAGTTGGGATCCTTCCCTGGTTAGCACACATGGGAGACATAGTTCGCCAAATTCGACGAAGGAGACCTCTCTTTCGAAGATGCTCAGAGGCGGGTCGGCCGATAGAGTTGGACTGTAAGTACTACGTTCCACCGCAAAGGAGGTCCCGTAATTAACCACCAGGGAGATGGCGTCCATGATCGGCCATAATCAATCGACGATGTACGTGGACTGGATCAGCTCGGCAAGGTAGCAAAACTCGGTCGATGGGTCCCACATGAACTGCCCGCTTATGCCCTCTCGAGGAGGGTGGCGCTGCACTTCTCTCCTAATTTTTTGAAGGATGTTCAACCGTCTCAACTCGATGATCAATGGAGATGAGAAGTAGGTCCTTAACTATAATCCTGTAAGGAAGCGGCAGTGTGTCAACAAAGGAGAACAGCCAGAAGCCATTCAAAGGACCGACCTTCACCCCAAGAAGGTTCTCTGTTCTGTTGATGGTCCAGAAGAGGCATGGAACACTAGGAGCTGCTGGAGAAAGAACAGACGATCGATGCCTTTACATTCATTATCCAGCTGCGGAAATTGAAAGATCACGTCGGTCGTACTCGTGGATTGAATGCAGAAATCTACCTTCATCATGACAACGCCCGACCCCTCACACTGTGAAGGCGACCCAGGCCGTGCTGGAGAAGTGTGAATGGCTGACTGCCGCCCAGCCCCCCCCCCTACAGTCCTGACCTCGCTCCTTTCGATTATGACTGTTCAGTCACCTGCAACGCTTTCTGGATGAAAAAAGTTTGAAACGGAAGATAATGTCGGAAAGGCACTCAACGACTTCTTCAAGTTCCAGCCACCCCTTCCCCCCATCTTTTTGGGAGGGAGGGATCGACAAGCTGCCTGAGCGTTGGCGTAGAGCAGTGGGTGGTGATGTTGCATACCTCTAATCTTCAGGTTCGTTCACCATCGGGATATTTTTTAAAAAGGCGTTGGGAAAACATATGCATCAACCCAATTAAATGCGCATACAACGCACACGATATTGCTTATGCAAGCTCATAAGCCAACAACGTAAAAGCGCTCCATGCACTTCTTGGAGTGCGCCACACACTCGACTCCATCAAATGCATTGCGGACTTGATTGAATGTATGTGAGGTTCCTAGAATATCTTTTTCCTTTTAAGTAATTCACGGTATTGTCGCTTAGCTCAAAGTGAATGTCTAATTCAGGTCGATTTACATTCGAGGCGAGTTACTGTTTTTGTGGGAATGCGACATTTTCTCACGTTGAAAGGGATATTTTGGCGAAAAGCGACAGGAGAATGATGAAGAAGCTCACCATCAAGGGCCGAACAGTGTCGCAACCCCTTCGATCCTGAGCAAGCGTTTCTTCTGGGTGTGGTTCCAAATATCGCTGCGCGGCACACCTTAATATGAAGGCGACCTATTTCTTTCTTCATGCTTCCTACGGCTAATGTGTATGTCTTTGTGCTCTCCAAGGCGAATACTACTCAAAACTGCCCACTTTGTCATACAAGGCTCGCGCTGCCATTGTTAACGATCATTTCTGATTCACATGACTTACCAATGAGCCGGGCTTTACCTGCTTGCAGTGCATCGCATGTGTTCGCGGCGTCTCTCTGAGACCCGCGCACTTTCGCGATTACCTGCGTCCCTGCGCGGGCCTATGGCCTCTAGCTTTGATCTGACGCTTCGTTGGAAAAAGTGGTCTTCAGCGAATATAGCGGAAATCTTGTATAGGGATCGACAGAAAATGGTTTTGAACCGAGAGTTTCATTAGGGTGGACCCTTACTTCACTGAGTAATATTCCTTGCAGGGATTACAACAGTGTGCACCTCAGTTACAAAGAGGCCATTGCTTGTGCGTGGCAAAGAGCATGGGGCCAGTTTGGGGCCATACCAAGGAAAAAACTTTGATCTGAGATCAGGTGTGACCACATTCTTGCGAAGAACAAAGATCTGTCCACGATAATAATGTGCCTTCAACGCTGTGTCCTTGGATTTCGACAGGAAATCCCTCCGAAAACTGGGGAAAGTAAAAAAATCGACCGATTTATTTTGTTGGGCATTCGTGTCATATTCTCACTATGACATGTAAGGAGGAGTGTTGAGGGCAGAGACTGTAGATGCAGTCACCTACCGCCTCCATATTGAAAATGAACCACGGAGACTGAGCAAAATCAGTCAATCATTTTCGCATTGAACTGAGCAAAGTCGAGAACTCTACGCACTTTACAGTTAATTCTGAACATGTTAGTACTTGTTTTGACTTGATGTTTTGTTAACTCCTGTTATATCGCCGCAGTACGCGTTCCGAAAGTCTCACAAGGTTGGCGATTTATGGACAAAAGTTCAGTCTCGGACGGGACTCGAACCCGTGCTTGTTCCCGGGAAGGACAAGTACGGGTTCGAGTCCCGTCCGAGACTGAAGTTTTGTCCATAAATCGCCAACCTTGTGAGATACTTCTGAACACTTCACTCCCACAGACCAGTCAACTCCTCCAAAGACTGAAGCGTACTCCCCATGTAACAGAAATCACTTTTCGGATGAAACTCATGGCGCAATTTGAAACGAAGCATTCTCAATACTACAGGGATTCGCTAATGGAGCTTGAGGAGCTGAGTTCGCAGTATCTACAACTCCTGAAGTACACTACTCCGAATAGACTTATGAAAAAACCCAGAAAAAGCACAAGTTTGCGGTGTCCGCGTAAATTTTCGAGCTTTCACGGCTAGTACTGTATCGAGAGAATTTTGGTGTATGAAGCCAGGGCCGGGAAGTGAAATGAGATTACTGCCATAATAGCCGTTAGATTTAAGCAAAGGGAATGGATATAAGGGTGACGGACTTTTTGAGTAGCTTCAACTACACGGCCGGCTTCTAGTCAGCGTTATGAAGTCGTTGGGCATAGTAGGCGTGCACAAAAGTTTCCAGTATTCAAGCAAAGTTGGAGTGAATCTTGGTTACCTTATAGATACTTAAGGCATCGAACTGTCTCTACAGGATGTCCCAAAATTATTGGCGCCGATTTAAAGCAATATATTTCAAACTTCTCAGCTGCGGAAGACGATGGGATCTCTATGCACGTTAGCCAACACTATGTGCGACAACATGCTACAGTCGACTTTAAAAATATCCCCCATGAGCGCGGATAGAAGTCAAAGTTTGCTCTCGACTTGATCGCATGTGGCACGCAGGTACCCTCCTCCATTTCTTACCAGCCATTCTTCACCCTTTGCATTCTTCTAGGACTCCAAACTGGGATTGCAAACTCGACAGGTCCTCTTCTAACCAGGGAACAGTCGTGGGGTCAAGTGAGTCGAGTTCTGGAAAATCGGATGACCATCCCTCTCCACCAATAAAGTCGGGCAGCTATCGTCGGCACCACTCGCGGGCAAGCTTGGCTCTGTGAGCTGGAGAAGCGTCCTGCTGGAAGGACTACGAGATGTTTCAGAAAACGTAGTCGGATCAGTGTTTCATTCACTTCCATCAGTACGCCGTTTGAGTACTGGTCTTGGTCAATTTTCATGCCTGCACCGAAAAAACCATGAGCGGCTTACCCTTGCCAGTGATTTCCTCGGAAAACATCATTTTACTATTCTGATAGCGACCTTTTTGTGGGATATTACACGCTAGGCGTTTTTTTCCAGAGCGCGAACATTTTGGTTGTTGAGGAATGGCTTTATCGTGAAAATTTCTTGACCAGAGAAAACGACGAAGGGTTGCGTGTCATCACTTTCGACTTTTTGCATTTTTGGCCCGGCAGTATCTGTTGAGATCGGAATTGATGCGAAATTTCTGCATACGATAGGAATGGCACTGAAGCTTCTGCACGATATTCTTTCATCGCGATAACTCCTACAAGCCGTGCCCGTTGACTATCTTTCGATGGGTCACCCAGAATCTCGACCGATTGGCAGACGGACCATTTTAATAGTCCTATCTTCAGAAACGTTCTACCTTTCTACCTTTCCTGATTTGTCTCTGATTCAATCTTTTTTCTTCTGTATCGCTGAATAGCCTCCTATATGGTTATTACAAAAATCCCAAAGAATTTCACAATGCCCTTCGACCTCTCGCGTGTTAATGATTGCAAGTGGCACTGAATGAGCCTCCTCCATCTGAAAGATATTGGGAGTTCCACATCAGTAGCCATGCATATTGCAAGGAAACCTTCTTATGCAACTAATTAATAATAGGTTATGTGAATTTGATATATTATTTCTACCTTAAAAGTTTCTGAATTTTGGCGCCAATAATTTTGGGACACCCTGTACATCGGAAAGCGTCTAACTCAGTAATGCTCCTGTCAATAAAGCAGTATTTTCCTATCGAAACAGTACAGAGGCTCATTACAACTCCCTTTCAGCTTTTATTCATATTCGGAGGCAATGATCTACAAATGCACAGTAATTTGAAATATTCATGTTTGAGGACCTACAACTCTCTAAGCAGGTGTTACACTGTTGAACTCTGGTTACTGTTTTTGCAATGTTTCGAGAATGATGCCCTCGAGAACAAAAGCAATACCGAGAGAGATTTTGCTCAGCTATCTCACGAATACTTTGAGAGCCTAAAGTTTTTGTTTAGAGCTGGAAGTCATTATTTGAAAAACTAGCATTTGCTCCCCAAAAAGATACCACTGATACCATATCATTGGCTCTTTCAAACATTGGGTGGCTTATATACTACCAAGATACAATGCAGTGCACTAGAGTTGCCTGAGACTGAAAGCCAAACTAACGCACCTGTCCATCTGTTACTGTAAGATTTCGCGGTAAATTACGGTAACTGTTTTTTAATGTGTGAATAGCATGTTTAATTTTTTTCGATATTACATCGATATATTTTTCCCAAAACCTGAACGTTTCCCAATTTTTCACATGAAAATAAATAACAATAAAAGGAAAAATCTGACTGGACTATGAATAGACTGTGACATAGCAATAAGGAAAAGGATTAATAGTAATAATAACAGTAGAATGATAACTGCAGAAATAGTTTCATCAGTGGACTTTTGAAGTATTTCGTGATTTATTTCACGTGTGTTGTTCATGTGCCCAGTGGATAAACGTTGCATGAAGGACGGTACCTTGAAAGAAAGACATCGCATGAGTTCGAGCCTGAAGCTCGCAAATTGAACTAGGCGATAAGACGTCCAAGCCAGCGTTGATGTACAAAAAAAGGGGAACAAATTGTCTGTTTGCGCTTTGCTCTTTGATCTCGGACCCAAATTTCTTTAAATGTTCGCAGCAAAGGAAAGAAGTAGAAAAAAGAGGTAAAAGGTAACCAAAATAATTCACGTCTAGGCCACCCTCTTGTATGATCTGAATCAAATGCAGTGTAATATCTGTTACGGTGATCAGGCAAACAGTTACTCGTTGAAAAAGGCAGTCGCACAATCGAATAGAACAAGGACATCATGTGTCCCGATACTATAGACCCCTACTTAGTGATGAGCTTTAGGTCCAATCTAGGTGGTTTGTAGAAGTGAATACGAGGGTTGCCTTTTGTATTTCGGGACTGGGCAAGCCTTGTGTTGCAATCTGGCAGACAGCTCTATCGTAAGGTTTGACCTTTTGGGGGTTGTACGTACCCAGAAAAACCTAATTCAAAAGATTTATCCGGACCAAAAAATGGAATTAAATCGTGAACATTTTCGTGCGATTATTTTTTACAACTTTCGACGTGTATTGACTCAACAACAGTGCATGGATGAACTCAGTTCAATTTTTGACGATAGAGGACGAGTGTTTATCAATGGTATGGTGAGCTCATCCGAGGCCGTAGTTCACTCCAAGCCGAATTTCGTGGAGATCGTCCAAAATCAGTTGTTGCTCCGGAAAACGGTCATGTGACTCGTCATATGACCTATCGTGAGATTGAGACAACCTCAGGCATTAGCGGGACCGCACATTCAATATCGCATGAACATTTGACTGTTGAAAAAAATTTGTTCGAAAAAACTCTTCACTACGGCAATGCGAGCTCACACATATCGGCTCGAACAACTGCATTTTTGAGCACAAAAAAAATCAATTTGATGAGTAATCCGCCACCCCGCGCCAGTCCTGGCTTGGCACCGAATAACTTCTTTCATTTCCGTACTAGAAAATAAAATGAGAGTTCAACTTTTCCGACACCTGAAGAAGCGGTTGATGCGTTCAGAATGCTTGTTTTGAAGATACCTCAATCAGAGTAGCAAAAGTGCTTCGACAATTGGTTCAAACGCATACAAAAGTGTATAGATCTCAATAGGGAATAGTTGAAAAACAATAAAGCAATTCTCAGTGGTTAATATTTATTTTTGTTCTCTAATCCCGATATATAAAAGGCAACCTACGTAGAAGTGAAATGATCCACCAAGCTAGTCTTTGTTTATAGTTCCACCCATTTCAACATTTTACCTTTCTGAACATTGGAAGTACGTAATTTATGCAAGGTTTCTAAAAAATTCGATGATTTCGCAAACATAGGTGAACACATTAAGCACTAGCAATAATGGAAAATCTGTGATTACATGTTTTGAATAATTATTTTAGCTGTCGGTGGCGCCTACATACATAAATACAGTACGTGTTTTGGCACAAACTGTCAAACTGTTAAAATGCTCACATTCACGCCCGACCAGAGGAGGGACAAGGTTGTACTCCTCGACAGTACCTTGCTCACATCCCTACAAAGACTGCTGTAAGTGCTGCACATAAACTAATTTCAAATTAAATACATCAACGAAAATATTACATACTGAGAAACCTCTCTTTCGTTCGTGCCGCACTCTTGAGCTGCGTATCTGACGTCTGCGATTTTGTTGAGATGTTAATGCTCTACAAATGCGTAAAATACATAGAAAGATCCTCATGTAGATTCACTCATAGTGGTTTCGAGCGGATTAAAACGAAAGCACTATGTGAACGCAACTCAATTGCTGAAATGATTAAGACTTGGATGAGGAACACACTACAAAACGAGCAAATACTGTGAGGAGGTCGTGAAATATGTACATTACTACTACTACTTCCTGGTCAACCGACGATTGCGACAGATTAATTCGTCTCGTCGCAAACCGTCGCTTTGCCATAACTTTTCTTGAAGTGCTTCAATCTAGTTGAAGGTAAGATCAGCAGAAAGATCTGCTTATAAGAAATCTAGTGAAAAAATAAGCTTTCGATTTTCTCGACTTTTTTGCCTTCATTTCCAGGACAAGCGAAGTTGAGCCTCTCAGCACCTAGGCTGTTACTTGGCGATATAACGGCATCGTAAACCCTCCACTTCAATTGGAACATCTCATTTTTTGAAAGGTTTGAACGACATTATATTTGATTAGAGCATGAAATCCTGATCTTTTGATATCCTTCATGACAAAGTTTGAACATCTTTAGGTGGACGCAGTGGTTCGAATTATCACTGAATTTGCAGACATTTGCTACTTTTTTCCAGCCATGTAGATTGTATGAGGACCGCTTGGCAGCCTTGGCTATGGGGAATCTAGGTAGACGATGAATTATCAGTTTTTCTTAGAAGTTTTGGCTCTATTGCCAATGAAGCCGATCCCAGTCTTCAAGTGTTCAGAATGTTACCTGTGGACACAACAGCACCGCAACAACACAACATCGCATTGTTTATAATAGACGAAACGGTGGTTCAAATTACCGAGTGCTGAAACTTGGGTCATTCTTTGGTCAGTACATATTGCTGTGCCATAATCGCTCTGATTCGTCACGGAACTATGTCTAATTAACCTTGTACTGGTCGACCCCTCACCATCGATCTCTACTGACCCATCCCCTTGCTACTATCGGTGTACATTCAGAAGCACGCCGTATGCCAGATAACTTTTAGCATGAGGAAATCCCTTTTCAAACACTAGTTCGGACACGCAATCCCAACGGTTTTCTGTTTTGGAACCTTTGCACTATTACACTCCACTTCGAATAGTGGGTTCAATTTCATTATAAGGAAGCCTTGATTATTGGCATGTCCTAAAAGTTGAGAAGAACTGATCACTTGATAACGTTCTGGAAGAATTCAGTGAATTTCAGCCAAAGCGTGGAATTTTGTTATTTTCTTTCTGTTTTCCAAGGGAACATCCCCTGTATCACCTGTCGTCCCTTGATCATCGACTTCCTCGAGCGGGCACCAGTAACGTCTCCTTTCGTCCCTCAAATGAGCCAGAGCGGTCCAGTGAATCGTTCTCGTTTCAGGGACACGAGGTCCAACATTCCTTTCGTTCGTGAAGAAGTCTGACCATCTCATTGGCGGCCGTCCTGGAATTCGTTCGATGCCCCGAGGGATCCAGTCAGCAACCACCCTGTTCCAACAGTCATCGCTATATTGCATAACGTGTCCGGCCCACCTGATTTTTGATTTCTTGACGTAATCAACGGCATCGGTGATCTTCGTTCAATGACGGAGCTCGGAACTCCGGATTCCCTTCTGCACTTGTGTGTATAGGGAAATTTCGAGCATCGTCCTTCCAAAGGGCGTTGAGTAACGCTGACAGCATGCTCATCCTGCTTCCGTAGAGTTCAAGTCTCTGAGGCGCACGTCAAAGCAGGAAGGAAAGCAGTGTCGAAAAGGCGAACGCGAAACCAGATGTTTTATGTCCTCTCCACTACTCCCTTGATATTCTTAAATGCTCCTTACGCGACGCGTTTCCTTCTGCACAGCTCCGGAGCTAGGTCGTTCATCATGTTGACTTTTCGACCTAGATACGCATAGCTAGAGCATCCGGAGATTCCGTTTAGTGTGAGGGGAGCATCAGATGCCAATCCGTTTTCATGCACATCGCCTTCGTTGAGTTCAGTCTCAAGCCAATCTGTCCACAAACACTGTCAAACTCGGCCAGCATTCGTCCGGTCTGCTCGATGTTCAGTGACTAAGCACGATGCCGTCTGCAAAGCGGAGGTGACATAGATGGCGGCCGCTGACCTTCCCATTCCAAATTACTGCTTATAAAGTTATTAGTTCAAGGAAACATAGTCATCATAAGCTAATTTGAATTGTCGTTGATCTTTTTTCGAAAACCATATTGAACCCTCAACCCTTCAAGGTGAACGGTTCGTATCATCACAATAAAATCAATAATAATCGAATCACAACTTAAATAAAATCTCATATAATATTTATGTATATTTATACTCATATATAGAGAGCTACGTATATGTATAACAGTAGAGCTAACAACTTGAATCCTCGTTACCAATATCCTCACGACGCTGGGTCTGCAAGGCCATGTTTTCCCGACCCATTTGAGTGCAATCAACACAAAGGTGTACTGTATGTAGCTACATCCCATGCTACCTAGAAGAATTATACTACAAGTATGCCGAATATTGTAGTGTTAAGAGGCTTCGATAAAAATCTCGAATGTAAATAAAGAAGCTCATAAGGTAAGATGTAAGTTTCCTAATCATACAGATTCAGTAGCAAAGCTCAGAGAATCAAGGGTTATTCCATTCTAAGATTGGCTTTAAAATTCGTAAGGTCGCTGATAAAATCAGAAGCGTTTAATCCACTTTGTAATGAGATCGGCGTGTGTTCGTTTCGTAAGCACAACGTGTATTTTCGATATACCAGTGAGTAAATCATGTCGTATCATGACCTGATACGTGGAAGTCGACCAACCATCTCTGACTGTACCCCGTTCAGGCTGACACCACATTGTTAGCCAAAATGACCACAAGGCAGCGGTTTAAACAAGCAAAATGAAGTTGCAACCATAACGCTCTTAAATGGATACAGGTATAGCGAAGGCGAAATGAAGATCGATAGCGAGGTGTTCATTGGCTCAAAGTTTGTTTACATACCGATTAAGCCAACTTGATTATCTACAATACAATAACAAAGAAGCAAATGCTTCAACAGTAGCCGTTTCCAGGTCACATCACATCTGCTCAACACTGGAAGCAATTGGGATATGTATATCGATCAAAAATTCATACGAACTCTAGAGCGAAAATTTGTGTTGACCACAAAGCTGCGGCCAGCCTAGCATCTATTTCTTGTATCCCACAATTGGAGCCTTAAAAGAATACAAAACTTTCGCTTCCGGTGGAATGCACCTCCAAGAAGAACTAGCAAATTCTTGAAAGAATTGCGAATTCAAATCACTCTTTTCAGAAGAAAATGTTAAGATTATATCATAACGGATATCAAAATAATCGGGATGCTTTCAAAAACCTAGAACGACATTTTCGAATGAAGTCGAGGTTTGCGATGATGTTATTCATATCCGCAGGTAACAACTCAGTTAATAGAAATCTCACTCTTCGAGTTCCTTGAAAATGTAGCTGCAAATTTGGTGTAAATCGGAAATTTATTATATGACTGGATTCCCTGTAAGCAGGACTATCCGTTGATCTTACATTCGAAATGGACCACTGGAACGAAGCTGCATATGTTTGAAAATTCGGTGATTCGGAATTTGTATGTCTATCATTCATGCTGGGATGCCTTACTCCGATGCCTTACCGAAGAGCCCTGAGTTTTCTGGCACCAATGCTATTTTCAAAGGCCAGAATTCTGCATTTAAAGCCTAAGACACGACAACTACGACTTTCTTTTCTGTGTCTGTCAAACGGGCCAGTCAAGCTACGTTTACAGGGCAAATGTTCTTTTGTACGAACTCATGCTTGTCTCCCGTTTTTTTCCAATATAGCAAGCGCTACATGCCACAGCTCCATGTGCAGTCTCATACTTTTCCATACGGGCAGATCATGCAGTTTCTATAATGGTCATAGAGACGGTTTCTAACCAAATGGTGTTTAATGTTGCCTCTGTACGTGTTGAACAAGATAAGGCCCGCTCTCCTCAGGAATTCTGAACACCGCGCTGAATTGATCTGATAAAAGTAGTAGCTGAAAATACCACTGCAGTCTGCTTCTTTTCTCATACTGCCGTGCTGTGGATACTTTAGGATTCGCTATATGACTCCCTAACACCGACGTGTCGACGCCTTCTGTGCCCAACAAGTTTTTGAAGGTCCAGAAAAAAGTAAGAAGAGGATTACAACAGTTCCAGTGCGACACTTCATGGAGCGTTTTTAAGTTCAATGGTCTAGTTTCACCAAGTGATTTGATGTTCGAGAATTATCATTGACTCAAGAGCAACAGGCACTGATCGAGAGCGATAAGAATGTAGATCACTATGAGTGCTCGATTGGGTTAATGAACCATTCTTAAAAACAGAAAAAGCTTACCTGTGGGACAATGCTTTTAACCAGCACTCACAGCTTTCTGGATTGAGTGCTTCTAATTCGACGACCTTATCGCTGCTGCTGAAAAGCACCACATCTTTGCTCAACAAAAAAAAATATCGTGGTATAAATATGAACTTAGTGAAATGCGGATGTCTCACTGTAGCACAAAAATTCTATCATTTCCTTCAACAATCGTGAACGCAGCATTCGCTAGTGGAAGGGTGCCAATGGGTTCGCGTTTTGCCACCAGGTCGGCTTCATCTTTATAGTAGAGTAACTGGCCACTTAGTTCATCAATAGCAAAATAGTACCGCTTCTTGCTTCTCAATAGACTTAGGGCTGAAATAGTAAGTTAAGAAAATTCTAGGTAGGAAAGCCGCAGAAACACAGGAAATGCAGAGTTGTACCCTTTTTAAAAAAAGGAATATCAGGTTGTTGCAGAAGTTTTGAGACCCTCGGATACCTGTTTTCAACCCTTTTGCAATTCAATTTAAACTCTCGCTTATCAGACTGAATAATTAATTAACAATTCATGACATTCGTCCAACGAGAAGACACGTCAGCTATTTTCTCCCCACAGAGAAAGAAGAGCTGACTCAGAGGAGTCGGTCACATGACTTTTGAGGTCACCAAAAAAAGGTGAGCTTCATCTTTACCAGTAACTGTGTGAGGACCCTGAAATTTGATAGTCGGGAGGACGAAATCAAGGTAGTGGGATAGAGGGAAACAGTTATCCAGCCTAGTTCCTGCAACTTGGGACTGAGTAGCCTCTGGACGTGAGTCCGTGCGCTATCTTTCTGGGGTCGGACAGAGTCTCTTGTCGGTCACTTTTCTTCATTGCATGAGCGAATTACTGAAGGTCACTGGCGTAGATGGTATCGCCACTTTCTGGTCTTTCGAGACAACTCGTGGTCTAATATTCTCTTCGAGTCCAATGTGCAGCAGAGCCTTCAAGGCAACTTTTCTGGTCCAGGCTACATGAGAGAATTTTCACCGTTTACGTGAGAGACGGCAAGCAATCACCCGTCATCTTATCCTGAGAAAATTATTGTCTCCATTACCAAATATATTGGACGAGTACCGACTTCGAGCGGTATCCCCAGAATGAGAGCGAGTGAATAAAAGAGTAAATGTCGCATGGCTGGCGAGGTTCCTGCAGTGACGATGTCGTAGTCAGCGCATTGCCTACAGGAGTTATGATGAGATCCTTGTGATTATACTAGTGGTAACCCTGGATATATTCTAGAATAAGATCACGATTCAAGGACGGCAGAAATACTAATAAAGAAACAATGATACATGGAAAATTGAGTCTCGAGGTTTTCTCATCAACCTGATACTAGTCAAGAGGACACAGGCTCGATGTCACAGACGCGGCCATAGGTAATGAGAGAGGCGACGGCATGGTGAAAGAAGGCAATCTTCTACTTAATTCATTCAGTGTTACTGCGTTGTTTATTTAGATGAATTTCGTTTATTCCAACAGTCAAAAGTCTGTCTGGCCCAATTGCACTATAGTGTTGATGATGTGTAAAATTATATAGAACCGTTGATGTGATGGAGATCTAAAGAGGATTTGTTTCAAAGCGAAATGTGAGCCATCGATACGTGTCGAGACAGTGACCCGTAAATAAACTCTCTCCCATTCGGATAGATATTCATTAGCTTCATCATTTACGCATCATCCAACAAGTGGTGCATCAGCTAAACTGATTGAGCTGAAGAGCAAGCAGAGCATCGACGGATTGGTGCAAAACTGCAGATCAACCTTACCAGGAAGCAGGTACGACCCTGAAGAGGCCAACTTCTTTCTGTTAATGTAGTATAGAAGAGCATCAAAGTACATAAATCGGATTAAAAATAACTTGCCTAGTTTTCTGAAGTATTGAAGTTTGATGCATTATTCTTGTAGTGTAATCTGTTGCACCAGAGCCGATCTGAGTACTAATGGTAACTCTTTGAGAACGAGGAAAGGGCGTTGACGAGGCATTCTAATGCACTGTCCCAGTACGAAAAGAAGTATTCAGTTTGTATAAACTGTGAATCTTGAAGATTAGAAAGCATACGGAGTAAGTTTGGCTTAATTTCAAACTGTCAAGATAGAAATAAAACGCTTCAAGCAACGTTCGAAAATGCTCTTTTCGCTTTACCTGATGCAGTTCATGATTTAGAAGATCCTCTAGTCGACAAGAAGAAAGCAAAGTTCTGAATACATCAACAACGCACAAGGAACGATCTCAAGAACCACAAGCTTGCTTGTGAAGCTCGAGGCAATCAAAGATCAATTAGTATCTCATGGTTGTCTAGAAACCTTTGGAACAATGAATGTATCCAACAATAGCAAATCATCAGCTCCGGTAGAACTTCCAAGAACACCACTGCCAGTGTTCAGTAGAAAAAGCTGGGAATGGGACAGCTTTGGGGATTTTTCAACACAACTGTGTATTCCCTTCAACTGTCAGATCTTCAGAAGTCCAATTATTTTCTAAGAGTATTGAAGGGCGAGACAAAGGGAGTCGATTTAAGGTTCCAAGCAACTTCAGCCTACTACAATTTAGCAGTAGCCCATCTAAAAGAAAGATATGGTAACGATCAACAGATATTAGGGTGTCGGAAAAGTTTTAAGAAAATTTGGCCCCTCAACATTGAAAGCATGTTGCTCGCGAACACGCTAAAGCAGGACTATAGATTCGATAGCAGAGAAAAGGGCATTGTTGATAGATAAATACTACAACCGACCGGTATTCGATGTGGTCGTTCAAAGTAAGTAATGTAGACCGGGGAACGTGCCATCGATACGTCTACCGGAGCCTTCTGCTTCTCCATTACAAAACTGATCGCTTCGATACTCAGAATCGGTATATTATATGGTGACTGATTGGCAGCAGTAACCCTCTCTCGTCACCTACCACAAATGGCACGGTCGCTTTCTTTGAGAAGGGATTTGCTCCGACGAATTTTGTCGAAACAAAGTCCACTGTCTTCAAGTACGGACAATGTTCTGGCCTACAGTCAGAGCAGTCCTGTTCAGCAAATTGGCAGCATTTGGAAAGGAAGATTTCTACTTCCCAATCCATCGTTCTCGACGTTCTAAGCAGCAGTCACTTTCAATGCAGGACTCTTTGCAAACAACGCACATCCTCGAGTGAGCAGGAGTGTTGAGTGCGAGTCGGTGATTGTCAGAAGCTCCTCGACTGTAAGCGAACGACGACATCAACGACTTCATTACTGTTCAGGATAAAAAACAGATGTCATATGAAGATTCACACAGAAAATCACAACGCCTACCATGGACGTAAGGTCACAGCTCGCTACATGGCGAGGCGCTCGCGCCATGAAGCTCACTCTTCCCCTGCTTAACAGGGTCCCTTATTATGAAAGTCAATCAGAGTACACTGCGGTAAACTCAAGAGTATTCTGTTATCGACTGAAAAAGATGGTGTTTCGAGCCCACACTTCACACCGATTGCGAGGAAGTTTTCGATTGTGATGGACAATGCTAGACCACCCCACCAGAGGACGTCGAATGTGCTAGAAAGACTTGGTATAATTTGACTACCCACCTCCTCACATATTCACCTGTCTTTGCCATACTTCCAGTGTCTTATAGGTCCGCTCTACAGGAAAAAACTCACCAACTCTCGAGATGTCACGTGGGTGATAAATGAATGAATAGCGTCTTGCCTTCTTTCATATTGGACGACTGGCATCAATGCCCAGTCCGGTTGATGGAGAGATATTGTGGCTAACAAGGGAAGGATCCCAAGTCGAAGTGGCCATTTGAAATGGGACCTATGCTGCTAGGCGTATTTTTTGATGCTG